ATCTCGTTCGTGTCGGCTTCGTCTCTCTCGATCGGGAACGAAAAGTTTCTTTTCCACCTCGCACACCGGAGGAGCGTCGAGTTGAACCGCGATAGTCGGTGTTTCCCTCCGTGTTCACCGCGATCGCGCGTCCGTCTCGATTTCGTATCGGAATCTCGGCAGTTACGCGGCTCGGCTGCATTCAAAAAGCGCGGTTCCGCCGGGAGCACCAGAGCACGGTTCACGGCGAATCGAGTGGTTTGCGTCTCTCGGTGCACAGGGCCGAGAACTCGATTTTCGCGTTGCGTGCGACGCGTCGCGTGGTCAGTGATACCCCGCGTCCGGCGCGGAAAACATGTAAACAATAAACAGAAACACGGCACCGTTTTGAGAGTCGAGAGAAAGAGAGGAGAAGAGTGGGAAGAGGGAGAAGGAAAAAAAGAAAGAAAGAGAGAATTCGCCGTTTCGTTTGGTGCTCGGTGCGCGAGAGATAACAGCGATCGGTTCGATATCACGGACGACGTTCGATTCTCGATCTGTCAGCCTCGGGATCAAGCGCCGCCGATGCGAATCCTCGATCGATATCGACGCTCGTGAGAATGCGTGGCTGAGACCGGCCCAGAGAGAGACCACCACCATCCTTCTCGTCCTTTCTTTTCTTTTCGCCGCTCGAGCTCTACAAGACGACCCACGAAAGCCCAGAGCCGGCCATCGAGAATTCTACAGGAAGATGCGGCCCGTACTGACAACCTTCTTTCTCGTACCGTTGCTGCTCGTCGCGTGGCAAAACGGCGCGCAGGCCAACTGGTGGTGAGTCCGTACAACACGATTGTTTATGCGTGCAAACCCGCGTCCGGATAAGATCTCTAAAAGCTGACCGTGCCCGCGAGTGGCCGGCCCGGCTCCTTTTTCTTTCTCCTATCCCTCCGGCACGTATTATTTCCTCGGACGGCCGCCCCTTGTGTCGCGAATAATTTAAATGGGCCGCAGTACCACTGTTTCCACTGTTCCTCTTTCCACGTTGCTCTTGAATGCCCGCCCGGTTTTCTACCGTTGAACGTCTTTTTAGCCGCGGCCAAGACGTCCCGGAATGCGCGACATCTTTTGTCATGCATACCGTGCTTTAACCTATAACATACCTTTTATACTGCCATTCAGCGGACAGGTATCCTCCAACTTGAACTGATAGTGTGCGCCTTATTGTCCGATGTACGCCATTTTTAACTCCCCCACTACTTTTAGGTTAATCGGTGCGCTTTGTACTTTTTACTCCTTTTCTTTTTCTTTTGATTCTTTGATGGAGAAAGTTTTGTAATAGTGAATATGGGGATAAACATGTTGAATGCCGCGCGATTTTGTAGAGTGAAATATAGAAAATGGAAGATATATTATACTGAATGATTCGATTGAATTGCATTAGTATTATTGCGCGTTGATTTAGCTGTATGTCGCCATATTAGGTAATATTATTTATAATATAGAAATGTTTTCGAATAGTCGTTTAATCGAGTGAACTATAGTAATTTGATTTGGTTGGGGTCACCGGTGACCTCCGTGGCATTCGACGTGTTAATCGTTCGCGGAAAGATTTGTTTATCGATAGTTTTAGTCGCGTTTGCTTTCGTTGCGAACTTTTTCATGCGGTAGTAACGAGGAATGCCATGTTTAAGGTCTTAAGGATCAACCCAAGTCGAACTCCGCGGGATTAGCATTTTTATATAAATAAAATATAGCTTGGATAATAAAATATGTAATAAAGTATAATATGAATTTCCATAGTAATTTATTTAATATTCCGCATTTATTTGAGTACTTTCATCGATTTTGAATTTAAATGAGTACGAACGGAGCCTTACTGCGTTATGGCTGTGTTTTACATTCAAAGTACTCTTTATTTATTATCCAAGTTCCTCGAATTTTACTGTCGATCGAATATAGTAACACCTTGTAGACGGATGGTCCGGTGTCGCTTCATATTTTATATTGTTACGGGTGACGCAAATGATCATTGGTTTTCAGGAACAGCGCGAATGACTTTTTGACCTCACATTTTAATACTGGAATCAATTTGAAAAATGTAAAATATGTATTATTGCCGATCTTGCGTTACACATTACTATATCTCGGCTGATACGCTACGAAAATGGCGTATCGAGGCAGGATCCAGCGAAAAGATTGTCCACAATTTAAATCAATACAAAATCAACAAGGTGAAACCCGAGAAAACTATTATAAAAATAATACTTTCTATATTACTCGGAACTTGTAAAAACGGTCACTTCTCCCATTAAAAGAACGACTCCGCTGCACATTTCTACGCAACTTCGGTCCCCGCATCAGTAAAATAACCATTCGTACTGATTTCCAAGTACCCGCATCGATTGAAAAATTTCAATTCGTTCATTGTGAATTTTCAAACAACGTACCTCAATCAATATTTATCTTACCGATAGAAAACAACACGAAAATACCTCCGAAATAATTAAGTTTCACCCGAAAGTGGCTACGAAAAAGTAAATAATTATTCCGCAGATCGACAAGGTGTTCAGCCACGAACGTGTCATCGAGCCCGCAACGGGCTCTCAACCCTTTGCACTCGGAAGGCGACTTTCAGTCGCCATTTGATCTGACGCGGTAAAACTATAAAATCCGATATTTAACGTTGAACTTCGTATAATGCCTCGATACGTGAAACATTGAAATAAAATAGCTTTGCCCCTCGATGTACCTGTGATTTCCTCTTTCGTCTTCGCCCCGTTAAAGAATGTTAACCAGTTAACTGTGGAATTCAGTTGGAAGAACCTCTCGTTCTGCGCGCAGTAAAATAAAAAATGGAGCGTGTACTCATCAAACGCAGGACAAATGCACGTAGAGTATATTGTAATGAAAGATCAAAGCGAAACAAAGAATTACATGTTTATGTGAAAAAGTGAAGAATTCATCGCTGAAAGAATAAGTATCACGTCAAGCTTCACGATGTATACTCGTCAAACACAGTTAACCGATTAAACATTTCCAGCGAGAAACCTGCGAGTGCAAAGGGTTAATATTTCGGCGGCCGAGCCTCTCGGCGGGCATGGAAACCGCGCAATGTCCGCGCGAGATAAACTTATTCGCACGCATACCACGGCGGGTACATTAAAAATGGGGAGAAACTAGTTCATAAAATCGGTGGCATGCTCCACAAAGCCGGCCGCCTGCGATAAACCCACGTCCAGCCGGGCGAAAAGGAGTGAGACATTAATTCGCGGTAGCCGGCCGCGATCGAGAACACGGGCTCGCGCGGCCCGCAATCTCGCGATCTACATTTGTCCGATCAGAATGTGTCGGCCGGTCCGTTCGCGGGGCGACCCGGCTTTCAGTCCGGCCCGATAATTTCCTCCGGGAGACGCGTGGCGAAATTGTCGGCCTCTTGGATCTCTGGCCGCGCGCCATGCCATTTCTGACGGCCCGTCGAAATTGCGATCCCGCGGCGCCGCAATGGCAGCCGGAACGGGAAAGAGTCCCGCGGCCAATTATCGGATCGCCCCGAGAAAATCGATCCCGCCGCGACCTTTTAACGCTGGAACCAACCGAGCAGGGATCGACTGGTCTTTTCATCCTTTTATACAAATCGAGGATGATCGGCTCGAGATTTCGATTCAATCATATTTTACAGCGTTCTCAGCAATCGCGAGAGAAGAAGTCGGGAATGGACTATTATGACTTGGTAGTCCGAAGGTTGAGTCGATCAGTCTAAGATTCTTTTACTCGATTTCTTGGTGCGGAGAACTCTGGACAGTGGTCATTTCGATTAGTTCCGTAGCGACTGAGACAGTGGTAATCGTTTTAATAGAAAGTAATGTCCGCGGCCAACGGCGCCATTAAGAGCGCGGCGTTCCCTAGAAAAATTTCTTTCGTCACAGGAAAATATACCGCGGGCATAAAACGAAAATTTTATGATCGTTGTTTATAAATTAGCCATTACGGTGATATATCCGCGGATTCCGTGGACGATTTAACAGGCTCGTTCGGATTTCTTTCTCGATCCGCGAAAGAACTATTCCGGCCGAATGGCATTGCGTCACGTAAATAGGATACGCGTACCGTGCGCGCGCGCGTTAGTTTTAATGGCGACAGGAGGGTGCAACGTTCTCCGTCGCCGTGAGTCACGGGGGGCAGTCGACGATTTTCGCGTCCCGCTATTTCGCGTACGCGCGAAATATCGCCAATTAGTTCTCGCCAGCGTACCATGACCGGCCGGGGGCTGGCTCTCCCGGAAAATCGGTCTCCCTTTATTCCGCCAGGAAAGATTCTGTTCTCACCTGGGCGGTCCAGTTTCGTGTTATTAACACGTTAGGCTCCGAGCCAATTTCACTTATCCTTCCGTGTGGAACGCGCGCCGAGAGAGAATAAGGAAGGTGGTATTATTTCAGTGACAAATGTCGCCTATATTTCTCCTTCCTCGAAATTATAGCTCTGATCTTCAATTCTCGAGTGGTTTACACCAGAACCCTCGATATCCAAGCATTACTCCTTACTTCCTGAATTTCTCAACGTCACTTCGTATCCAAGCTCTTTTCTATATTGCTAGTTGCATTAACTTACCCTATGATTTCTTTCACAACTATACTCTACGAGGATCCTTCATCAGTAACGATTCTTTAGAAAAAGAAAAAATCTGATGTTCATCCTGTCTGCGTTTACTCCAGAGGTTGACGCCAGGAAAGTCCTGTTTAATTTACATTGAGAACACAGTGGATAACATTCAGATTTGTCAGATTCAATGGCACATTTCCATCGCGAGTCGACGTCGTAGGGCAAGGGGTTAAGTAAAACATAGTCGTAAATGATCGTAAAGCTACTCATAACAGAGATATACGGCTAGAATCCATTACTCAACCGCCAGATCGAAGTGGATAAAAATACAAAATGTCGGTCGTCGCAGATACGCGAGGCTGATAGCGATTTTAACGGGGGGGCCCTGTGTCCGGAACGTTCCCCGAGACCGGCTCGAATCCTATCGTCGGTTTTGTAAGATCCCGGGGCCGGGGAGATGCAAAAACGCTCGGACGCGAAAGTCCCCGTGTAACGCCGGTTTGATACGCCTTATAAGATTACGCGGCCGTTTTCACGGGGGGATCGACGCGCACAAGTTCCCCCGCGCTCGCGCGTAAGCGTTTATTTTAGCATTTGAAATGTGTACCATTGCGAGGCGTGTGCTCGCTCGCGCGAGAGCCTCGATCACGTTTCCGTACATAGAAAGGCACGTACGTACGGAGGATGATGACGAAACGTTCGGCTCCGAAGGACAATTTTCTACAGATCGTTCCACCTATTGTTCCACCGGCCGCACAGTGCGCGCCGACACTTTTTTTCACTCCGCCGCGATTTACTTACTCCCTCGCAGCGCCTCGCCGGCGCTCCGCGCGGTTCAACGGGAGAGCCCTGAAAGGAATGCGGGTCGCTGGTCAGTTGCCATCTTTCCTCGTCTCGTTGTCGATAATTTGTGTTCGTCTATATGGTTAATATTCGACGGGGAAAAGCTTTCGGTTGTTTCGAAAGCTAGAAACGATGTTCCGCACAGGCCGAACGATCGATTTTTGGACAAAACTCGATAACTTAGACACTATCAATGATACAAATGCTTCGGACAGAAGCTGTAAGGTGGTTATATTTTGTTTACATTATAGGGATGTTATGAAGTTTTTGCTATGACAATAGGTCCTTCGGCAATGGAGTTCGCACGAAATTGTTGTTTTTGAAATGAACGTCATTTCCGTAGAAAATGTAGTTCATAGTGTCGCCAACTTTGTTCTCGCTTCCATCCC